AAAACAGAGTGAAGTTTAATTAGCAAAATAGAGTGAAATCTAAACAGCAAGCAGGCTTTCATTATATTATTAAAAAGAATAAACAAATCACATAGCCATTAAATATTAGCCCAAGAAGATACCATTGAAAGAAAAATTAACTATAAAAGTTTAAAGGTTGATTCAAAAGGCTCTAAAGAACTAATAATATCTCTTTGGTGCTATGAAATACACAAAGCCAGAGCACAACAACTTGCAGAAATGTAATCAAAAGGCAACACAAAGGACACTATATAATATAGCCAAATAATAACAATTTTACCTCTTCTCAAATGAGAACCATTTCAATCATATATGGTTCGGAATTCCCCTTGTTAGAAACGATACTTACATACGACTCTGAGCAACAAAACAGCCTTGTCGTCCAACTGCATATAACACGAAGAATACGAAAGCTTAATACAACATATGCAGACTACTGAAGTTAAAAAAACACCCATTTTTCATGTTATACTCTACTATATGTGCCTATTCATGTAAATACTCTAAAGCTACTGAAGATATTACACGAAGAATACTAAAGCTTAATATGATAAAATTGATACTGATAATTTAGAAGTTTTATTAATAAGAGAATATCACACTACTCATACATATTATTATGAAGCCTACGCATGAATATATAGTACAAGAAGTATGCCAATTCAATCATGGTTGGCTAGGAACTATGCATGTAGCTTCCATGGGCCATGCCAACTCACGTAGACAAATTATATACTAGTCTAGTATTATTGCATATATAATAATAATGGAGTATTAATTAATAATATTTATTACATATCTCAATACTCCCCCTCAAGGTGGAGTGTGAAGATTGCGAACACCCAACTTGCTTTGAAGGAACTGGAAACGTTCTGCACCAAGTGCTTTGGTGAATATATCTGCCACTTGATTGATTGTGGAGATAGGAAGTGGTTGAATTTCATTACTGGCTACCCGTTCTCGGACAAAATAACAGTCTATCTCCACATGTTTCGTGCGTTCATGAAAAACCGGGTTGATGGCAATATGTCGAGCCGCCTGATTATCACAATATAAGGGTGTTGGGTCCTTTTGGGGGGCCATAAGGTCTCGAAGAAGCCACCGGAGCCATAGAATTTCACTAACCGTGACAGCCATGGCACAATATTCTGCTTCAGCAGAAGAGCGAGAGACAACAGATTGTTTCTTAGTCCGCCAAGAGACAGGCGAATTCCCAAGAGTGATAAAGTAACCAGTGCTGGATCTACGAGTAAAGGAGCATCCTGCCCAGTCTGCGTCACAATAGCCTTTCAAATTGAAGTCATTTTCAGATGACAAGAATATGCCTTGACCAGGTGTTTGTTTCAAGTAGCGTAGGACACGCATAGCAGCATCGAGGTGAGTTTGTCGTGGTGTGCTGAGAAATTGGCTCAATTGACTAACAGAATAAACAATATCTGGACGAGTCACTATGAGGTAAAGTAGGCGCCCGATTAGTCGGCGATAAGATGAAGCATCCACTGGAGGGCTATCGTCATCAAGGCGAAGTCTTAAATTTTGATCCATGGGGAATTGACTAGGGCGGCTAGCTAGAAGACCACTCTCTTCCAAAATATCAAGAGTATATTTGCGTTGACTGAGTACAAAACCTTCAGGAGAACGAGCAACTTCAATACCAAGAAAATATTTTAGTGGGCCCAAATCCTTGATGCTAAATTTGGAATCCAAGTGACTTTTCACCATGTCAATGTGAGGGACATTGTTTCCAGCTAAGATAACATCATCAACATAGATAAGAGCAAAAGTTTTGATGGGACCCTGTTCAAAGATAAATAAGGAGTGATCTGCGTGGGATTGTTGAAATCCTATTTTCGTGAGGGCCTGAGTGAATTTATGATACCAGTTTCGAGAGGCTTGTCGTAGCCCATACAGAGATTTTTGCAACTTACAAACGCGAGTATCATCTTTTTTCGCAAATCCTGGAGGCATCCGCATATAGACGTCTTCATAAAGATCACCATGAAGGAACGCATTGTTGACATCTAGTTGGTGGACTGCCCATTTATTTTTTACTGCTACGGCCAATAAGCACCGTACCGTGACAAGTTTAGCAACAGGCGCAAAAGTTTCATGAAAGTCAACTCCTTCCACTTGTGTGAAACCCTTAGCTACCAATCTAGCTTTGTAACGTTCCAATTCACCATTTGGCTTATACTTAATTTTATAAACCCATTTAGAATCAACAGCCTTTTTTCCGGGTGGCAATTTGACCAAAGTCCATGTGCCGTTTTCTTCCAATGCGGAAATTTCTTTTTGCATGGCCTCCCGCTACAAGGGGTCCTGAACAGCGTGTGAGAAATATTTAGGCTCATCACGTGAAGTGATAGCCGCTAGAAATGCTTTATGCGTTTTCGAAAATTTCTCATAACTGATAAAATTGGACAATGGATATACTGTTGAGTGAAGGTGATTCACGGTGGGCCCAGAGTGAACAAGTGAGGAGGGCAAGTCAATCTCATAATTTTCGAGATGTTTTGGAAATTTTCGGATCCTCTCGCTCCTTTTTGATTCTGTATTGGACTTGGTGCATGGATTCACAATTGATTGGCTAGGTGGTCCCCCGATGATTGGATTTTGTACAGGAGCATCACAATCAATACTTACAATCGGTGAAGATGGGCCGTGTACAGATGTATTTGGCAGCCGCCTGGAGGGTGAATTTGTCTCCATACGTTCACAATCTGAGCTAGTAGGATTATTCAAGGGCTCCTTTGTCTTTCCAGTGGGGCTATTGCCAGGTATGTGCTGCTGATGACGCATTGAGCTGTCGTCCTGTACAGCTGAGTTGCTGGGGTGGTTCATCAATTCCGGAGCCCACTTTATGGGTGAGTTTTGTCTGCTTGGGATGTCCGGACAAGTAGGAGCAGCCACATGTCCGTTGTCTTCTGTCCATGAGGTAGAACTGGGAATAATAGGGGGCTGCCCATGCGCAATAATAGGACGTATAGCAGGGCTATCAACACAATTGGGGTTGTGAGCTCTAGGGACATCATAATTTAAAATTTGATGATAAACTTTGTTTACAATTACGGGAAAATCAAGATCTTGATCGAGAACGGTTTTAAATGGAAATTTCTCTTCATAAAAAGTGACAACCCGGGAACTGTAAACAATATGTTTTTCCAAATCGAACACCTTATAAGCCTTTTGACCATATGGGTATCCAATAAAAATACAAGGACTCCCCCTTTCACCAAATTTATCCTTTCTTTTATTGTTGTGGGCGTATACCAAACATCCAAATACACGCAAATGATCATAGCTAGACACCTTCCCAAATAGCATCTCAAAAGGACTTTTGTTTGAAATAATGGGAGAAGGAAGTCTATCTAAAAACTTATAAACACCAATCATGGTTATGGCATTTTAGGAAGGGCAAAAATGTTGGTGTAGCACTAAAGCAAATTGCACTTGTACAATTTGTTTTAATGAGTGTACCATTTATCATTAACCCAATGACTTCTTCTCTACCTCCGTTAAGTTCCAACAACATTTTCCAACGTTTTGTGTGCCCTTCAAATTATAACTATGCTATTCATTTGATTGCTTTAGTTTCCATTCAATGTTTTTTACTCCCTCCCTATCACATATATCTTCCTACTTCCAAAGTGGGTGAGATTAAGAATAGTGAAATGGGGTATGAATTATTGAGGGTATGATAGGAAGATGGTGAAATAATGTGATGGAATGAAGGATAAATCCAAAAAAAGTAGGTGTGGTAGTGTATTATTTTTTAAATTATTGAGAGTATAATGGGAAGATTTAGAAATGGGAAGATATAAATGTTACATCCAAAAAAGGAAAGTGGAAAGATATGAATGTTACGGAGGGAGTATTTAATTTTGCATTCTAAACTTTTTCCCTACGTTGTACAAGATAAATTCAATCTTGTATAAATTTTTATCTTTTCTCTTTAGAATGCAGCAATCTAACACAATGACACCCGATAAAATTTCCGTGCGGTTTGCAAATTACCCCTTAATTATTAACCTGTTGTGGACTTGTGGCCACAAAGATTTGGATGCGTATCTTTATTGTAAGAGTTGTTCTTTTCATATTATTCTTATTGCTTATTGCTTACAATTATTTCAATTCATTTGGATATAATAGAAAATTGAGTTAGATGAAATCATATCATATCAGAAAAGTACCTCTCACATCAGAAAGATCCGGATCATATAGATCGGAAAGGAACAGACCAGATTAGAAAATTTCAGACATGATTTATTATTATTATTATTATTATTATTATTATTATTATTATTACTATTATTATTATTATTAGGATAAGAAGAAAAAGAAGAAGATTCTTATTTTTTTATTGAGGAGAAGATTATTATTAAGAGCCTCTTTAGTGATCTCGTTTTTTGGCTTATCAGTCTCATATGAAACAACTTTTTCGTTCAACACGTAACTTTTTATTTCACTCGTTGAATTGTATAATACTGAAAATGAGTAAGGTTGAAGTTATTTGTCTGATTGAATTGGTTTAAGTTATGAATAAAAGCTCTGAAAATTTTAAGAATGTAAAACTTTATAAATATCTAAGTGTTTTTGGAATTATTTGTATATTCTACTTCATTAAAAAAGTTTTTAAATATTATCTGTATACTTTTTACGGATTCATTTTTCTGATTTTTTATTTACAACTTCTAAAATTATTTATCTTTTTATTTTTACGATTATTTATATTATTATTATGAGTACTATTTTTCAAATTTATATGAATTTTAATAAGACTTATTAATTTTCCTAATTTATTGTTTCAAAGATCACTTGCTATAACAGATCAAAATGGCAGCGATTGTGTTTTCAAAATAACCGTACTCGTATGATACTTTTTTTTAGTATAAAGGCTCAGGTGATGGATTTGGAATATTAAAAGAGTCTATTTGACCCCCCCCCCCCCCCCCCCCCCCCCCAAAGAAAAAAAAACGGGCCAAAAATATTGGGCTAATATTTTAGGCTTTTTTAATTGTGGCGATACTCTTGAGTGATATTTTAACTTTCCACTCTATTTTCAAAATCACTACTCTTTAATATATATACTCCATAGAATGCACCCCAAGTGTGGATCGAATTGGCGTGCATACATTAATGATTTTGAAAATAGGGCGTAAAGTCAAATATCACCGTAAAAATGGTGTGACATTCTTAATCTCCCATTTTTTTAAAGAGGAGTGAAGTGTGGATCATTGCACTTGCTGCTATACTAAAAACAATCGTTAATAGTGTAGCACATCTTCCCCTTATTTCATTTAGATCAGATAAAAAAATTGGATTAGATCATATCATATCAGAAAAATTCTTCTCACATCAGAAAAACTCGATCATATCAGATGAGAAAGATCCATACCGAATTAGAAAATTTCGGACATGATTTATTATTATTTTTATTATTAATATTAGAAGATTCTTATTTTTTTTGTTAGTTAAGGAGAAGATTGTTATTAAGAGCCTCTTTGGTGATCGTGTTTTTCGGCTTATCAATCTTATGAAACAACTCTTTCACCAACACACAACTTATGATTTCATACGTTGAAATATTGAATTATATAATAATCAAAATAAGTAAGATTGCAGTCATTTTTGTTTGCGGAGACTATATAAGGTGCTAAAACAAGGTTAGGGCTTTAAGTTATAGGAAATAGTTTGGGAATTATCTCTATCGCGCAACGCGCGTTGAAAAAACTAGTTAATAATATAAACAGCAGTTAATATGCATTCACCCCAAAAATCAATAGGTAAGCCAGACTGGAAACGTAGTGCCCTTGCCACTTCCAATATATGTCTATGCTTACGCTCAACAACTCCATTTTGTTGTGGCGTGTCTGTACATGATGTTTCCAACAATATTCCACTCCGTCTATAATAATCAAATAAAATGTTGGTTTGAAATTCTACACCATTATTAGTCCGTATTCGTTTGACCTTTTGCTCAAATTGGGTATTGACCATGTTGCAGAATTGGATTAATAATTGAGGAACGTCAGATTTATTTTTCATTAAATAAACCCATACACCTCTAGTAAAATCATCAACTATAGATAGAAAATACCTTGCACCGGAGATTGAATCACACCTATAAGGTCCCCAAATGTCGCAATGTATCATCTCAAAACAGCGAGTTGTTTTAATAGCACTTGTAGAAAAAGGTAGTCTAGTCTGCTTAGCTCGGACGCAAGGATCACAGAAATTGTTGCTTCGGTGAAATCCCTTGAGAGAACTAATGTGATGTAATTTTCCATCAGATGCATGCCCCAAACGTTGATGCCATAAATTAGAGGTAACTGAGACTGACATTGCTACCGCTTCACTTTTTGGACATTCCAAGTAATAGAGACCATTACGGAATTTACCCACGCCAATCAGCTTCCTAGAGGGTACGTCCTGTAAAATACAGAAGTCTGGAAAAAATGTAAATGTACAGTTCAGATCGCTTGTTAAGCGACTAACTGAAAGTAGGTTGCATTGGAATTTTGGAATGTATAGAACGCGTTCAAGATGGAACCCATTAGGTAAGTATAAACTTCCCACGGCATGAAATGGAATGGATTCACCGTTAGGAATTTTGACTGATGGTTCTGTCGCAGGACTGATAATATTAAAAAGATTAATATCATCACATGTGATATGCTCAGTGGCTCCAGAATCAATTATCCAAGAAACGACGTGTGGCAATCTGTCCGCCATAAAAGAAAATATGGGAAAGTGAAAACCTATAATTTTGGTTTCCAGGATTTTGGCTCTGATACCATGATAAAATTGATACTGATAATTTAGAAGTTTTATTAATAAGAGAATATCACACTACTCATACATATTATTATGAAGCCTACGCATGAATATATAGTACAAGAAGTATGCCAATTCAATCATGGTTGGCTAGGAACTATGCATGTAGCTTCCATGGGCCATGCCAACTCACGTAGACAAATTATATACTAGTCTAGTATTATTGCATATATAATAATAATGGAGTATTAATTAATAATATTTATTACATATCTCAATATAATAAAACATATGAATACTCTATTAATCTATTATGGTGCCTATTCATGTTATAGCGTAGGCATGAAAGTTCTTGCACAATTGTATTTTGTAATAGCAGCAATTTTTTATAGCTTAAATGGTCACATTAGTAGCTAGTCTTATTCTCTTAAATTCTTTAGTTTGAGAAATGGGAACATAGTATGTTCATATAGTGTGGATAGATAATACTTGAAGGTTAAAAAAAAAAAAAGATTTTTAATGGAGTATTGTATAAAAAAGATCTAACATTTTAGATAATTAAAATGCATTTAGTTGAAGTTTTTCAGTTACTAATTGCATATTCTATTGAATTCTATCTTACAGAAAAATCAAATATGATCCAGAAATAGCAAGAAGAACTACAAAACAGAGAGAACTTAAATTTGTATGTTTAGAATACTATAATGAACAAATTAGAGTTGTATTAAAATTAGGTTGCTAAGTTAATTAGGTCAAATAGTTTTAGAGAATAATAAGGACCGAAAATGTCTCAATAAGATTTTGAGAATAAAAGTATTATTTCAATCATACCTGAATGAATAGAAGACATGTTGGAATCATGAAAGGCATTGGATAAGGAACCATTCATTGATTCAACGAAGAAGAGTCTGAGAATTGTCCAAAATAAATCTTCTCTCTGTCTGCACGAAGAAGAAGCATTTGAGTGGTCAAGGCGTTCTTTCGACGATGTTAGTGTCATGGTGTGCAACTGAAGGAGGAGGAGGAGGAGTCCATGACTACTCGGACCGATTCCGGTTCTTCCTTCCAAAAAAAACTCGGCCGGGCCCGGCCCAGAACCGGAACTGGCCTGGCCAGTGTCCATGATTGGCTGGGCCGGGCCGGTTCCCAGGTCGGGTGGCCAGCACCGAGTCCAACATTATTTATATGTTCTTTCCCACGGGGTATATCTAGAATAGAATAACAATTTCTTTAATAGTATGCTTTAATATGATAATACATAATGTGCAATTATTTCAAATAAAACAGACGATAGAGTTTATATGTTGTAATTTTGATTATATAATGCAGTGTAATAGTTTTTAAGAAAAGAAAATTTTGGGTTGTGAAAAGTTGCCAAGTAAAATTTAAAAAAATTGTTGGGTATAACAATAAGCTATATGAGATAATGAAATAACACGTACGATAGTCCGTATTACAATTATTAGTGAGTCCCGTGGAACTTTATAAAACACAACAAATATATATGTCGATAATGTACAAAAAGTATCATAAATTTCTAAAAACTTCTTTATAGACCACACCATTACTAGTGTCGATAACACGACTTTTGTCGGATTCATTGCCAATGTTGCATTCAAGTGAACATGAGCTGTCAAAATTCAGATATGTCTTCATTTCTTCATGCTTCAACAAAATCATATATATATATATAGACATAGGTTTTGGTTCAAATAAGAACATGATCGTATGAGAAAAATGAGAATGAATCTGGACCGTTAGATTTGCTTTATGTGAAATTCAATGTGCATTAGATGAAACCGTAATGTGTATTAAATGAAATTGAAATGTGTAGCACAAAGGATACAATGTAGTGGCATTATGTGAAACTAAATTGTGCATTAGGTGAATTTGAAATGTGCAATAGATGAAACTAAAATATGCAGAATAAAAGGTACGATGTGATGTTATTTTTGTACCTTTTATTCTGCACATTTCAGTTTCACCTAATGCACATGTGAGTTTAAATTGTTATTCTGCACATTTCAATATCATCTAATGCACATTTCGGTTTCACCAAATGCACAATTCAGTTCCACATAATTCAATCCAACGGTCCAGATTTGTTCTCATTTCTCTCCTAAGATCCGTTCTTACCGGAACCGTTCCCTATATATATGTATATGTGTGTGTGTGTGTATATATATTGATAATCTCACCAACATCACTTATGGGTGCCAAAATAGTTTTTTCTTCTTAACATATGACCTAAAAGCAAAATGGAGGGCGGGTATTCGTGTGGAAGAGTGATCTTGTATCATCTTTTCTCCTCTTTTTTTTTTCTGTTTTTCTTTTTCTTTTATATTTTTATCCTTATATATAAATATTACTTTATCCTTTTTATTTGATCTTTTATATGTATATTCATCTCTTTTATATTATCTTTTTTTATAATAGCTTATCTTTTTTATCTTTATTTTCGTTCTTTTCCTTTTGGTGATATCATATATCGATTCATGTTAGCCGACCCCAATATCGTTTGGGACTAAGGCTTGGATGTTGTTGTTATTGTTGTTGTTGTAACATATGACCTAAAAGACATATTCTCGGATAAGTGCTAGTAGCAATAATTGAAAGAACAGTGTCACCTGAAGTGGTAATAAAATCTTGATATCTTTATAAAATATACTGGTATTAAATAACTAAGAAATTATTGCAATTACTAAAATGCTACTGCGCTAGATGTTTTAGTTTGATAGATTCCTACGATTAAAATAACATATCATTCTCCATACATGTTCACTATTCAGGTATTGTTTAATATGTTCTGTCAAATCTACTCAATTGCTCATGCATGATGAGCCCATCTTAGACCATTTGGAGTGGTGAGGTATTAGGAGTCCAAAATGTGAAAATGACATTTTTGGACTCCTAATTTCATACATTGGTGGAGTGTAGAGGGTATTAAAAATGGGTTTGGGAGGGAAGGGGTTAAATTTGGAGGAGTTTTGGACAGCCAAAAGGTAAATGGAAAAGAAAAGAAAAAGGGGGTGGGGGCGTACCTGATGTGCGCAGGCTGGGAGCACACGGCTTAGCTGAGTAATTTTCCTCGCTGATGTCATGTTCATGTCAGCATGAGGTCAGCATGCACTACCAAATTTATTAAAAAAAAACTTTTTGGTAGATCCAACGGCTGTGATGATTTTGACACTGTTTGAACGAATAAAATGATCCAACGGCTGAAATTTAAATCCAACGGTTGAAATAATTTATTTTATTTTTCACTTATTTTTAATTAATATTTTTCTCAATTTTTTTTTAATGAAATTTATTTATTTTTACATCGAAATGTGTCTTTTTTTATTTTATTATTAATCAGAGAAAAAATTTAAAGGAAAACATTACTTATAATAATTTAATTAATGTTTTACTAAATTGATATGTAAACAAATGTGTTGAATGTATTTTATTGACGGTGCTGGAATGCAGAGAATAGGAGTCAAAACACTGTTTTCATATCGACGGAGTCAGGGGCGGATCTACCAAGCAACAAGGGGGGGCAGCTGCCCCCAATAAACTTCCATTAGTTCCTATAATTTATTAGTAATTTGTTAGTGAATATTAGAAGCTCAAGGTTTTGACCCCAATAAAAAAATTGGTTGCCCCCTATAACCAGTCAGCCGCCGCAGCCTAAACTCTAAAGCCCAAAGTTGGGTAAATTTGAATTTTAGATTTCAGCATCAACACATTTCAACCAAACCCACTTGAGGTCTAGAAAATTGACGAGGATTGAATGAATTTAAGTGTGGGATAATTTGTACTTGTACAAGTCCTCTCTGTATGATTGTATGTATGATTTAATGTCATATACGTAGTATTGATTTTTATATAAATGTTATAATTGTAAAGTTGTTGATTTTTTAAGGATTATTGTTGTTCATCTATTAGATTTAATTAATTTAATGATTTACTAAAATAGTTATACATCTATTAAAGTCTAAATTTCTTCATCTACTAAAAATCCAAAATGTAAACAATATGTTATACTATTACTCTGTATTAGATAGTTAAATAGAATTTTATTCTCATGTAGAAAAAAGCAGTTCAATAAAATGTATTAATGTATACATGAATTAATATCTCAAAATTTAATGCTAAATTCACTTTTATTCTAGACAAAATAACATAATGAAAGAAATGAAATTAGGAAAAAGAGTAAAGTTATAATAAATGATTTTTTTAATAAATGAAATTATAATATATCTCTTCCAAAAGATGTAAATAAGTGCGTAAAATTGTGATGTATTTTGCCAAAATTTTTGCTATTGTAATATTACAATAGTACTACCTGCGCCCCACTAATACTGACGTTGTGTGATTGATATTGAATTGATAAAATAAGAGTAAAGTATGAATGATTTAGAATCACACAAATTTTGTCAAATTTAGCATGAGAAAATCTTAGTGGAACGGATTGAAAAGAAAAGATAGAACAATCTTAGCGGGACGGAGAGAGTACCGTATTAATTTTTATTCTTCTTGAGCATTACTTAATCACTTCGCCCCCAATAAAACAAATTTCTGGATCCGCCACTGGACGGAGTCCATTATTAACATTTAGACTCTTGCACCACTCCAAATGGTCTTATTGCCTCTGCGTTAAATTGTTCCAATGCTTAAAAATTCTAAATAATTATATTTGTTTCATATTTAGATTGATATTCGATCTTGATTAACGTTATATTTTTAATTGAAACACGCTTGATATCTTCTAAAAAAAATCCATGAGTTTTTCTTTGTCCATCATTCCCTAACTTCTTCAAATCATCCTTCTCTATAACATATGCATACTTGGTTTAGAACCCGTTTGGTGGTCCCTTTTAAGCTTATTAGCTAACTTTTTCATCAAATGCATAAATGTTAATTGTGCCCGTTGAGTTGTTTAATAATCAAAATAAGGAAGGTTGAAGTTACGTTTTTGGCTGAATTGGCTGAAGTTACTGCAGAAGACCATTTTAGCTATTTTTCATATGTTATTTTATTTATTTTATTAATAAAATATACTCGTATTTTAAATTTAATTTTTCATAATTAA